TAGTGGGTAGTGGGTAGCGAGTAGGGAGTACCGAGTAGTGCATAGTGAGTAGCGAGTAGAGCAGTGTGAGTAGTAAGTAGTGAGGAGGGAGTCGTAAGTAGTGACTAGTGAATAGGGAGTAGGGCGTAGCGAGTAGGGAGTAGCGAGTAGTGAGGAGTGAGTAGTGAGTAGTGAGTAGGGAGTAGTGACTACTGAGTGGTATTAAGTGAAAAGTGGATATTGAGTAGTGGGTAGTGCTCAGGGTGTAGTAAGTAGTGAGTCGTGAGTAGTGAGTAGTGAGTACTGAGTGGTGGGTAGTGCGTAGTGACATGTGACAGTGACTAGTGACTCGTGAGTAGGGAGTAGCGAGTAGTGAGTCTTGAGTAGTGAGTAGTGCGTAGTGGGTAGTGAATATTGTGTTTGGGGTAGCGAGTAGCGAGTAAGGAATAGCGAGAAGTGAGTAGTGAGTAGTGAGCAGTGAATATGGTGTAAGGAGTAGGGAGTAGCGAGTGGCGAGCAGTTGTGGGCAGTGAGTAGTGAGTAGGGAAGTGTGAGTCTAGTGAGTAGTGATGAATGAGTAGTGAGTAGTGGGGAGTGAGTAGTGTTTAGTGAGTAGTGCGAACTGACTAGTGGGTAGTGCATAGTGAGTATTGAGTAGTGGGTTGGGAGTAGTGAGTCGTGAGTAGTGAGTAGTGGGTAGTGGGTAGTGGGTAGTGAGTAGTGGGTAGTGAGTAGTACGTCGTGAGTAGTGAGCAGTGAGTAGTGAGAAGTGAGTAGTGAGTAGCGAGTAGTGAGTAGTGGGTAGTGAGTAGTGAATAATGAGTACTGAGTGCTGTTTGGGGCCAGGTTTAGGGTTTGGGGTTCGGGTTACGGGTGGTCGGGGTGGTAGTGTTAGGGGTGGTAGGGGTCGGGTTCCGGAGCCAGGGGGCGCCGTGGCGAAAGGGGGAGAGGGGGGGGGTCGAATTTGGCGGCCAAAGGGGGGGAGGGGGGGGGGGGTTCGGACCCCCCCCCTTTTGAAAGGGGCGGGGGGGGCTTCCCCGACGACGGACCAGGAAGGGGGGGGGAGGGGGCGGGGGGGGTCCCCGACAACGGATCGGGGAAAGGGGGGGGGGTCCCCCCCCCCCCTTGGGGCCATCCAGCGGCGCGCCCTCCATGATTTAAGCCATTGATTGGTTTCATTTCTTCTAGGAGCCGGAATGCTTCGGTGTTTTTACACGGTGCTTTCGCTGCAGCGTGGGCCTCATTTTGGGATCGGCGCTTTGCTCCCGTTGCTCTCAATGGCGCTCTCGCCCTACCGCGGGCCATTTTTCTGGATCCGAGTCCTTCCTCATCGTTGACTCCCCGCTTTTTTCCCCGCTCCGCCTTCCCTGGTCCCCCTGCTCTTCCTGCTCTTCCCAGTCCTGCTCCTGCTGCTGCTATTCCTCCGCGTTCTCCTCTGCCGTCCTCAGTCGCCCTCCTTCCTCCTGCTCATCCTCCTGCTCATCCGCCACCACCTCCTCCTCATCAAATGTACCTCCCTTTCTGATTGCGCATAACTCGAAGGCGTCCTTCTGGGGGGTCCTTGTCCGCTATGGCACCCGCATGTGCCCA